TATGGATGTTCTTCACAGAGTTCAGGTGTTTAACAGTCTTACGGCCTGTGGGATGAAACTGTCTCTGAGTCTGGTGGTTTTAAATATGATGTATTTACTTCAACAAGGACCATGCCTACAAACACATTAATCTCAGAGAAGAGATGAATGAAGCCAGATTTGAGCTAATAGCTACCTTCCATCTGGAGTCCTTTTCCACCTGACCTTTCAGCCTCGCTGCCGTTTCCTATCGGACATGTTTGGTGTTTTTCACTGAAGAAGCGAGCGTCCTCAGAGGTTTGTTCCTCTGGTTCCCGGGGAGATGGCGGCGGCCATCGCCAGCTCCCTGATCCGACAGAGACGTCAGGCCCGAGAAAACAACACAGAGAAAGTGACCACCAACAACAAGAGGAGGACGAGTCCCAGCAAAGACAAAGACCCGCGGTCTCTGTGTGAGAGACACATCTTCAGCGTCTTCAGCAAGGTGCGCTTCTGCAGCGGCAAGAAGAGGCCGGTCAGACGGAAACCAGGTGACCAGAACACATCAGAATCAAATCAGAATGCATAGAGTGGTGGTTGTAATATCTCACATTCACCCGACAACTCAGCGTCCTTAAGGTCTGTGGTTAAAACTGATTGATGCTGAACGCGATAAATACGTCAGTAAATGCTTTTTCACCCACTGGTGGATTTAAAATCAGAAATTACTAACAAGTGTCTAAATGACACGACTAAACGCCATCACGCCCAACATTAGCCGCATTTAGCTTAGCGGTGGTGACGTGAAGTCATGTGACCGTGCTGTAGTTCCTTTATAGCCCAACATTAGCCTCCTTTAGCTTAGCGGTGGTGACGTGAAGTCATGTGACCGTGCTGTAGTTCCTTTATAGCCCAACATTAGCCTGATTTAGCTTAGCGGTGGTGACGTGAAGTCATGTGACCGTGCTGTAGTTCCTTTATAGCCCAACATTAGCCTCCTTTAGCTTAGCGGTGGTGACGTGAAGTCATGTGACCGTGCTGTAGTTCCTTTATAGCCCAACATTAGCCTCCTTTAGCTTAGCGGTGGTGACGTGAAGTCATGTGACCGTGCTGTAGTTCCTTTATAGCCCAACATTAGCCTCCTTTAGCTTAGCGGTGGTGACGTGAAGTCATGTGACCGTGCTGTAGTTCCTTTATAGCCCAACATTAGCCTCCTTTAGCTTAGCGGTGGTGACGTGAAGTCATGTGACCGTGCTGTAGTTCCTTTATAGACCAACAGGATGCTTGTTTGTTTGTTCATAAAGGAAACAGTGATGCATTGATTAAACAATTGTCTCTTTATCCCAAATGAATGTTGTTCTGAGAGAAACAGATTGTTATTTTCATGTTTGATGAAGTGTGATCTTCATCGCTTCAGGAAGCTGCAGGATTTTATATTTTCACCTCAGTGTCTCTCAGATGTTTTCACAGTCCCACACACGTTTAAATATAGCTCCTGCACACTGGATTATATAGCATATATAAATATATATATTATAGCTCAGAGAATAAAACACAAAGACGTTCTCGGCTGTTGAACACTGATAGTGAATGAACAAATAATATGCTTACATCAATGAAATGAATGATGAATTCATATTTGTATTAATAATAATAATTGTAGCCCCACATCTTTTTTATTAATAAAAACCTGTTTAAATGTACAATTACGGAACATTACAGCAACTTTTTAGTCTGTAAAATGAAATATGTGTAACATTTATTATCCACATATTTATAGTTATTATGAAATACATGAATCGTTTTCAGGTGTAAATTGGGAGAGAAACTGCTATAATCACAACAGTCCATTTGTTTATGATCCTCTGTAAACATAATTAAAATGCTTCTAAATGGTGTCGTTTTTTTGGCAAACAGGGATTTAAATAGTGTGAGTTATTCACATTAAACTTGGGTTTTAATCTCCTTCAGCGCCAGGCTTTGTTTTTGTTTTCAGACACTTTAGTATTAGATGAAGTTATTATTATATGATGAACTTGAGAGGGTTCAGAGTTTCCTGTTGGAATCAGGCCTGTATTTCAGTCTCTGCTCCACATTCGCTTCTGTATTTTTGGACCTTCTGGCCCACATTGTCCTCTGGAGCCTCAGAAGCTCCATGTTTACAGTGTGTGTGTGTGTGTGTGTGTGTGTGTGTGTGTGTGTGTGTGTGTGTGTGTTGCAGAGCCACAGCTGAAGGGCATCGTGACTCGTCTCTTCGGCGAACAAGGCTTCTTCCTTCAGATGCAGCCGGACGGAGCCATCAGCGGAAACAAAGACGAGAACAGTGACTACAGTGAGACACACACACACACACACACACACACACACACACACACACACACACACACACACACACACACACACACACACACACACACACACACACACACACACACACACACTGCAGCTCTGAGGATTAAAGCCCCTCTCTCTCTTTATTCTCTCCATCAGGCAACATGCAGTTATTTCAGGGACAGCGTGGGAAACACGTCTCTATAAAGTCTATAAATAGTCCAGAGAGGGAATACTATGGGGCTTTTATTTTGAAAAACGTGCCTCTTCTTTAGCTTTCTTTAAAGATAAAGCAACTCTATGATACTTTTATTTTGAAAGCCTCATGCTGATCTTCCTGTAAGGATAAAGTAACTCATTGGGGCTTTTATTTTGAAAAAGCATGCCAACGCTTCCTGTTAATCTTTGAGGCTTTTATTTTGAAGAAAATGCTTTTTCTTAACTTTGAGTTAACGATACATTTAATGAGGCTTTTATTTTGAAAAACAAGCATATTCCTGATCTTCCTGTACGGATAAAGTGTCATTAAGTTAAATCTATAGGGCTATTGAAATAGATGCCTCTTCCTGATTTCTGTTAAGGATACATTGTAGGGCTTTTATTGTGAAAATATAACAATTTAATATACACTTCCTGTCCCCCAGCTCTGTTCAACCTGATCCCAGTGGGACTCAGAGTGGTGGCCATTCAGGGCGTGAAGGCAGGACTCTACGTGGGGATGAACGCTGAGGGGTTCCTCTACACATCAGTGAGGAGCTGTCTGTCTGTCTCTCTGTCTGTCTCTCTGTCTCTCTGTCTCTCTGTCTGTCTGTCTGTCTGTCTGTCTGTCTCTCTGTCTGTCTCTGTCTGTTTC